AAAAAAATCGTTGAGCCGTTTTGGCGGAAGTGACGAACTGCAAGCTTTGAATGCTTAGATCTTCTAAATGTGAATTTTGTCACTGGTTTGGAGCACACTGCCTTATAGATAACCTTAAGACTAACATATTGATACTAACACCTAAAAAACTTTCATTTTGATTTCATGGGGACTTTAAGAATGTCTATGCATGGCTGAAATAGTGATGTGTAAATTTTTTCATTAGTAAATGCAAAGAGTAAAAAAAAAAGGTAAAATAAAAAAAATCGTAATAGCTACTTGAGTAAGAGTACAAAAGCATCCAATGAAAAAACTACTCAAGTACCGAGTTACTAGTTACTTTAGATCATATATCTTACAATAACTTGCTATTATTTAGACAGATCATATTTAATTGATTTAAATGATTATATTATTAGGATAATTAGATATCTTTGCAACAAACACAGCAGAGACAAGCATTAATTCTGGCATTTCATATGTTGCCCCAAAATCATTGCGGGTCCTTTGCTTTTTTATAATAATGTATACAGCTACATTTGAATTATTAGACATTGGCCCATGATTGAGGCATCGCTCATGCCACAAAAAAAAAAAAAATCAGCATGCATTGAATAAACTATGCATTTCTGAAAATGTATTGCATTAAAATAAAGTAACAAGAGCAGCATTGCTCCACAAAGTAAAAGTACCATTTTCATTAGAAAGGTACTTGAGTTAAAGCAAAAATACCTACATTTTCCAAAACTAAGTAAATGTAAGCCATTACTACCCATCCTCTGATCCCACACTCACACATACAGTATATATAACGCACACGGTTGCACTTACTGGCATTCTTTTTGCGTCCCCATCGATCCGTCGGTACAGTAGAAGAACTTTCCCTTGAAGAGCTGCACTGCAATCACAGCAAAGATGAACATGAAGAGCTGGTAGACGATGAGGATGTTGAAGACGTTCTTCAGGGATGTGACCACGCAATCGAACACAGCCTGCAGGACAACAGAAATAATCATCATATCGCACATCCCAGATCTTCAACCGGCAATGCAAATGAGATAAGTTTCATACGCAGCTTTGTGCCATTTACAGAATGATGCATTCCAGAACAGTATATTATCTAATGCAATCAACATCACAATTTTACCTAAAGCCTTAAATGTATGTCTAGTCATTAAATTAGTGTAAACTGGATCATGATGAACATGATGCACACAGCATTGCATTGTCTACACTTTTATTTGCAAGTGATCAAATCAAACGTTTGTGCTTTTTTAGGCAGTACAGTCATTTTATAGCATGTTGGTTGCTATAGTAATCATATCAAGTCAATCCCATGTGACTTTGCTCTATAATGACTGGAGACCTAAAGCTGACAGAAAAAAATGCTTTAGATGAAGCTTTCTTGCGATCTGTTTATGCTTCACTAACAGTTAGGTTTATGGGTTGAACTGGTGGACCTTCATGCTTATATTTCACTTCCATACCAATCTAATTTGTACAAAATCACCGCCTTGTAAAGTCGTTACGCTTTCTCATGAGATGCGGTTGGAACTGAAGTGCACTAGGCCGCTAACTTCTCATTTCTTTGTCATCTCGATCCCCAAAGATCTCTCATGATCTCCCATCTCTGATTCAATTATGGTTTAGTTAAATGGTCTGATGAGTATTCTCATAATTCTGGCTCTGTATATGACTGCATATTGATTTAAAATGAAAAAAAGTACTGCAAGTTATATTTAGCCTACTTTTAATTATTCACAGAGGGATTACTCATATTTGGACAGCAGAGCATCCTAATTCATTCATTCATTCATTAAACTGTGTGTGTTGTTGTGAGACTGTTTCAAAGGAATATTCTTGGAATAAGATATTTCTTGACTAGAGCTTCTGTGTTTGAAATACATAGCATTACACGCAGAGTATATGGTACATTAGTTTATCGCCACAGCAAAAGTAGATAGAAGAATAAACAGACAAAAAAAAATACAGAATAGCATTTCTTTTTAATATTGAATGTGGGATGGGATTTAGCACAGGAGGAACCCAAGGCCTAATTTTTGAGACTCAAAGAAATTACTAATAACGTCCTTTACATGCATTAGTAAATTTTTACAGAATTTGTAAACCTGTTACATAATGACTATGCAATGAAAGAATTATTTATAATGTTTGAATATTCTAAACTATTTTGAGTAAAACTCAATACTTGCAGTTCATCTACTGTAATCCTTTTTTTTTTGGATACAGTGCAAATTAATTGAAAGTATTGAGTTGAACTCTTTTGGAAGAATTTGTTTGTCACATGTGGAATGAAAAAGTGTGCAAGATCCCCAGTTTTTCCTTTTTCTTAATATTCAAAGTAGGTATAATGTAAATATAAGTGAGCAGAGAGTTGGATTGTCCATTCAGGTTTTTTTAGCTACAAATGTAAAGTATATAAAGTGTGAAAGAGCAGATACCTTGAGCTTCGGAAGTCTTTTGATGGTCTTGAGGGGACGGAGAACTCGGAGAACCCTTAAGGACTTAATGGTCTTAATGTCTCGGCCTTTGTTGTTTCTGTGAATAACAAAACATATTATATTTTAGAAAATGTATATTTTGGGGGGGAAAAATCCCACCTGCACAGCTGTCAATAACTTAGATATTTATATTGAATTAATCAAAATATTTGCAATTAATCGAATATAAGCCCCAAATGATCCGGCATCTTTGCTGCTAGATATCAGTATAAGCTGACTGACATCATAAATAAAAACCTAAGTACTACAAATTAACTAACTTTCTAAATCTTAAATGATGTTTAGTGCTGGAAGAACCCAAGGCCTAACTTTTCAGGCTCACACAATTTTCTTTTAATAATGTCCTTTACATGCATCAAAGGACTTTGCATGCATTAAAGTATATTTTTATGATATTTTTAAACCCGCTATTCAATGACTATGCAATGAAAGCAATATTTATAATGTTTGAATATTCAAAGCATTTCACATGATTCACACGAACAAAACATGAAGTGGCTCTTCAAGCTTGAACTGCACTGATGGTAGGAACATGTATTATTATGGTACATACTTATGAGTAAAAAGACATGATTAATTGCATATTTAAATAATGAATCATACTATAAATGTTAAATTGACAGCCACCTAATGCATAACCTAAGAATGTCTAGGCATGGCTGAAATAGTTAGAAAATGAGTGAACATTTTACATCAGTAAATGCAAACATGGATCAGACATCATGATATTAACACACATAAATAAACGATGAACTGATTTCATAATAAAATGGACAGACAATGTGACAAATGAGAAGCATCTGCTGTTACCCCATTAAATTCCTGGCAGTCACAGAGACACAATCCAGACAACAACAGAGAAGCATTAAAAGAGAAAGAACACATGTAAAGCCATTAAACAATGAACCAGAGTAGATTTATGAACGTCTGGAAAATCCTTTGATAGAAATACTTCCTTGAATAACAACACAAACATGCTTAACAAGAATAACCCTTAACATGTTGATCAATTATTGAGCAAAATCGTATTATCTGGCACATATGTCTAATGCAAGGCAGCTTGCAGATCACGTTAATAAGACTAAACTGCATGCTTTTAGGGCTTCTCTCAAGGGTTTCCCAAATAGACTATATTAAATTTAGGACACCATCATTTTTTTAATAACTGATGCTATTTAAATGTATGTTTAAGATCATATTTATATATTCCTCCAAACTGTACCCTATATTCTAACTATATATGTGTGACTTCCATCTCAGTTTTAGAATATATTAGCAAGCATTCAAGAGTATCACGTATATAACTTAAATGAGGGGCGTCCAAAGTCCAGCCCACGGGCCCACAGCCTGCTCTGAATCAGCCCGCAAGATGCTTTAAAAATAGACCAGGATTTGGCCCACTATTAAGAAATTCATAGACTGCACTTTATATGTCTATACCACGTATAGCCAAATCTCACAACACACCACCTCCACTAGTGCAGTCGCCACCGGCTTCTTCTTCTGCCTCCTGAGTTTCACCGGTGAAGCGGCGCACAAAAAGAATAAATAGATTCTTTGCCTTGTCATACATATGCTATACACTTTTTGCATACACTCTTAAAAATAAAGGTGCTTCACGATGCCATAGAAGAACCTTTTTGTCTAAACGGTTCCATAAAGAACCTTTAACATCTAAAAAGGTGTTATAAAGGTGTTATAAAAAGGTAAGAAAGAGATGGTTCTTTAAAGAACCTTTGACTTTGTAGAACCAAAAAATGGTTCTTCTATGGCATCGCTGTGGAGAACCTTTTAAACACCTTTATTTTTAAGAGTGTTACTATTTAGTATTATGCAGGTAAAATGCTCCTTATCAACCTTGTTTGATATGGCAATACAATTCAATCACATTATTTTGGCAGTGAATGTTTTGGGTGGGTTTTGCAGAGCTTTTGGACAGAAAATCTTTGACCCAATCTGACAACACTGATTGATGGTCATTAATGAGTAGAGTGGCCTAAACTGGGTAGAATATTAGCAGAACTAAAATTACATCCCGGGTTTAAGCAGTCTTGTATTTTGCACACACTGTAGAGTTTATACAAAGCCAAATCCAGTGCACAATGGATTATGATCAAAGCCCAGATTGCATTTACATTTATGCATGTGGCAAAACCCTTTATCCACACCAAATCCACTTTTACATTACATTCAAAGGATACTTTTTTAAAGTTTACTACATCAGAAAATCCAAACATACAGTATGTGATGCAAATGTCAAATTCGTGTTAACAAGCAAAAACGTTGTTGGTGCTTTACAGCCTCAACAGTCCCTTTGCAACTGGAAACTGCAGTGAATCGTACGCATTGGTAGTTTTGAAGTTTTGCAAGCAGGCACGTTTTAAAAAAATGAGCCTGTGTTGAAAGTTATCCGAGGTCTGGAGTCTGGCGTTGTCATATGTCTCTAAAACGACCAGATAAATCTGACTTGATATAAACAACTTGGCTTAGTCACACAAGGAAGATGGATCTCATTTGAAATACTTACGTCAATGCAAAGGCAAATAAAGCTCCAACCACCACAATAAAGTCTAGAATGTTCCACAAGTCACGGAAATACGACCCATCATGAAGAATGAGGCCCTGGTCGATCATCTGTATAAAATGGCATAATGCACAATTATACAGAATATGGAGTATATATAATTTTCTGTATTTTATACCTATATGTAAAATTCGGTATATGTCTACCTACAGTATATACTTCAAATACCATTGACATGAAATGTCTCTGTGACAGCCCTATATTATGGAGCCAGAATAGTCTCAAAATAAATGAATATACAAAATAATTTATTACGAAATAAAATTAGTATATCTGCAAAGAATAATTAATATATTCATAACCAAATTTACATTAAAATGGACACAAAATTAATCCAGGTAGGCACATGCTTCATATGCCCACAGCGAGTTATGATTGGTCAATTGAGATGCTTAAATCTGATTGGATAAAAGGCAATTCACACACATGACGATTTGCTAATGCAGATTCAACAAACATTTTGTACATTTAAAGCATCCAAAACTTTGTGTGCATGCTTGTATATATGTTTTGCATTTTGTGAATGTCAATTTGGTTATGCATATATTAACTGTTGTTTGCAAATATACAAACTTTTATTTTATGCATTTATGGATCTTATTTTGTAAATATGTTTATTCTGAGACTATTCTGGCTCCAAACTAGACTGTGCATAAGATATACAGTAAAAAGGAGATTGGGGTTTGCTGACATCTTTGTAGGGCAGGGTTTTGGATTAATGTCGTGAGGTTAGCAAAAAATAAATAAAAAAATCCTTATGCCACCTTTAATATAACAACTATTTAAATAACGTTTGAAGTTGCAAAGCAGTTACCTTTATAATCATTTCAAATGTGAAAACGCCAGTGAAAACATAATCAAAGTATCGAAGAACCTGTAAACACAGTAAACAAACCTGTCAAAATGTTGTTTTAAAGTCAAAATACTCATTAGTCATATACATTAGTCATTATATGAGACCTTAAGTATGCAATATGGTGAAATATAATGGTTTACTTTATTCCTCTCTGAATTGGCGCACACAGGGTCCTCAGCAGCCAGTGCAATGCTGCTGGCCACAATCACCAGGAGAATGGTCATCTCGAAGTAGCGCAGGGTCACCACATAGTGGCAGATCCTCCTGATACTTTAGTTACACAAAGAGCATGATTTTAGATGTTAGATTTGTCCTGTTCTATCATGCATGGTATACGGTACAAAAGCTAAAGGTGTGGGATCATGTAAAAATGGCAGCTTACGGATTTGTGCTTTTGAAAATGAACATGCTGTCAGGTGTGTCGGGTTTGGGGGCAGTCGACTGTCCACCTCCATTCTCAACATCATCATTATCATCATCATCATCATCGTCATCGTCGTCGTTACCATCATCAGCTTTGCCTGAGTGAGAGGCCTCCACGTCTTTGAAGCTGACTGTGACGAGTCAAATCAAGAGAACAAAACAAATATTTCAGAATTTTATTTGCATCCTAAACTTAACTATTGACTTGCATACTACTACAGTCAAACTTTCTGGCAAAATGAGTAGTGAAATTAGATATGACTAGCTGAAATCCTCATAATAATGTTGTGAAACTACATGTTGTAAATTAATATTACTCAGTACTTAAATATATAATTGCACTGTAACAAGGACATCTTAAAATTAAATGCACTGCCATTTTTTTAAAAGGCTACTGTTCTTGAACTTATTTCATTTTGTTGTTCCCACTATTTGAAAGTAATGCACCATATATCGAAGTAGCTTTTTAGTAATTGTATAGATAGAGGTCTGTATAACAAAATCTGAAAATCTTTTGGATTTGGATCAGTTTTTCATGCATATCTTCAGGTTTGGGTTTGTAATTATAGAATTATTATTATTATTTTTTAATATTTTGCTTTCATTTTCATCTCGTTTGGCACACAAATGTATCTAGCTGTGTAAAATGATTTAAATGAAACAAAAATGGTTATTGGTTAAAATATCCTCTAAATTTAGCCATGCTATATTCAATAATTTCAGTAAATATTACTCTGACTAAAATGACATTTAATTTTTGTTGACAAAAATTATATTTCAGTTGACAAGTTCCAAATTAAACCAAATATCTTAAATATTTTTATTTAAATAACACAAAACATTTAAACCTGGATTAACATTTAACACAAACAACATGTGAAAACTGTCCTGAAACAACATTAAAAGAAGTACACTGTTGTAACGCAATGCTGTGACTTCCTTATGCTTTAGTTATTCATTGAGTGTTTTTTAGATGTGATTTTGTTACAGAAATGTTTGTTTTGGAAGGTTTTTCCAGACCAAAATGCTTTTGTATTTGAGATTAATTGGCTAGAGGTTATTTGCAGTAAAATGAAATTTAAACAGAGTGTGCAATTTTGGAGTTTAGGCTGGTTTCTGTCTTAAAATTTCACAGTATTGATCAGGTTGGATCAGGGCAAATTGTCTCAGGTACAGGGAGGCGTCAAAGTAAAGATTGTGCAAATCTCTAATTGTGGGACCTTTTCACCCCTGTGTCCAAATATGCCTTCATCCCTGTAAAAAGCAGTGCATGAAATAAGAAGCATGTCCGAATTTGCTATATTCAAAACAGCAGATGACCCAATACTTCCTATCTACTGTACCTACAGTACCTCATGAGGCCACAGGAAAGAAGTTGTTAATGGCAAGGAAGCATCACCACTGATGGTGTAAGGACACATGGCATACATGCATGATAGAAGTATGTCTAGATTGCATTCATACTGCATGCATGCATACTTTATAGAAGTACTTTCATACAGTCACAAAATAAGTCCTTCATCAAATGTAATTATTTTGCATGCTGCAACAAGATTTCAGAGTTGCTTTGGCTCTGAAACTGTGAATGGAGTGTGACTGCCAGAGTAAATATATCAGACTGCAAATAACTGGCAAGTGTGTTGCAGGTCTCAAGGTACATATGTTTGGGTATTCACTGAACGTGAATTGACCTGCACATATCAAACTTTATTTCTGAATTGTCAGTGCTCTATATGTTTCTGTTTGATATGTTGTGTAATTAAACTTGTCTGTTGCTAGGCGCTCTCTCTCACATATCTTTACACATTAAAATCAAGTTTATATGATTTATCTCCTAGGTTTTGACCACGATTACCTGTGATTGTTTGCATCTGAGATGCAATTAGATTTGTGCATTTATTATAGGCTGGAAGCCATAAACCTGAGCCCACTGAGTGCCACTTTTTTTAAAATCTTGTGTTGGGTTTGGGGGGCTAAATGGCTTCTACTGTAGATTTTCGTAGGAGTGAATGTTAACCTAGATTTCACCCAACACCCAGCACGAAGCCCACTAAAGCAATGGAACAGAATACTCTAAAGGCGAACTGCTCTTTATTTTCTGAGACAGCTGAAGAAGCTTAGATTGCCACAGGCATTGATGACCCAGTTCTGTGTCTCTATTAATGACTGTGTCCTCACTTTAGCGATTATCTGCTCTGCAAACAGAATCAATGGCTGCTGTCCACCCCCCTCCTTCAGGACTCAGCCATCAGCAGCTGAACTACTTCATTACAAATCAACACCGTTGCACTTTGACCGTCTTCCTCTGAAAAACTGCTATGCAGATGGAACCAAACACAATGGGCACCTCATTGCTGAAAATGGATTATTTCAATTATTCAATTTCTAACCCATACTTCATTCCATGCATCGTATATAATACATATCGGGTTATAGAAATGGGTTTCACAGGTCTGTTCTGATAAAATTACCAGTGAAAACAATGCTAAATGCAAAAAGGCACTTACTTTTCAGAGACTGGCATGTCCTGTGGCTTGACATGCTCATCATTATGCATGCATGATTTTTAATTAAGAGACTGGAGTATTTGTAATTTTAAAAAACATGCATTTGTCACCACAGGACAAGATTTAAAGGTGACTATTCATGGCAAAGGGTGAAAAACTTTGTAAGGATACTTTTCTTTACCATTTAATGATACAATTTTAGAACAGTTTTGGTTTGGTACTACCTTCCAAAGAAACTAAAAGAACTTCAAATAAATTGGTATGATAAAATGGTAAATACTTCAGAAGACCAATCCAGAGAAAACGTACTCTACACAGTAAAGAACCAATTAAACAAGAAGATGATGGATGGACGTACAGACGGATGGATGGAATGAGGGATGAATGGATAGATGGATGCATGGATGGAAGGAAGAAGTGATGGATGGATGAATGGATGGAAGAAATGGACGGACGGACGGATGCATTGATGGATGAATGGATTGACAGATAGATGCATTGATGAATGGACGGATGGATGCATTGATGGATGGATGGGCAGATGGATGGACAGATGGATACATTGATTGATGGATGCATGGATGGATGGATGCACTAAAGGATGGATGGATTGACAGATGGATGCATTGAAGGATTGACAGATGGATGCATTGATGGATGGACAGATGGATGCACTGATGAATGGACGGATGGATGCATTGATGGATGGGCAGATAAATGCATTGATAGATGGATGGATGGATGCACTGATGGATGGATGGATTGACAGATGGATGCATTGATGGATTGACAGATGGATGCATTGATGAATGGACGAATAGATGCATTGATGGATGGATGGGCAGATGGACGGACAGATGGATACATTGATTGATGGATGCATGGATGGATGGATGCACTAAAGGATGGATGGACTGACAGATGGATGCATTGATGGATGGACAGATGAATGCAGTGATAGATGGATGAATGGATGCATTGATAGATGATCAAATGGATGAATTGATGAATGGACGGATGGATGCATGATGGATGGACGGATCAATTACCAGTCATTGGTGCCATTTCCAACAAAGGCTGGGTTGATGTCTCTCGTTTAATGCTGGTTTCTGTCATACACTCATCCTGGTTTAGATAGCTGCCATTGTTCTCAATGTCTGAGACTTCCCCTGTCATGTACTTAGATTCTGATGAAAACTCTTCTTTGTGCCTCAGGAATGGAGCTTCCTGGCTTTCTGCTTGATCTTCCATTCCAGTGCAGAGAGTCTGAAGCTCCTGAAGGCCAGATGCTTGGGGAATCCCAGTCACATCACCCACAAACTCCCTAAAATACAAATGTACAGGTGTGAATGATTGATCTTATTAAATAACGAAAATATGTTTCATAACTTTGCTGTGTGTTGTGCCTAGCAAGACATCAAATTGGTAACCAAGCTCAGTTCCATTCAGCCATACAGTAAGTTAACACTTTATTTTGATCTTCATCTTTAGACATTATGTCGACTATAAGTAACTTTGCAATAACATGTCAACTAGCAGTCATTAGAGTATCAGTAGACACACATTACCCCAACACACATTTTAGTGACTATAAATAACATTGCAAGTACATGTCAACTTATTCTTATAACCCCAACCCTAACCTAGCAGTCTACTAATACTCTACTCTACTACTCTAATTACTAGTGCTGCTACTTACAAATTGTAATCTGTTTCTGATTTCAAATTAAATGGCAAAAATTGTAGTTAGTAACATAGTCCATTAAATTAAACATTTTAGGCAATATAATCTGACTACTTTCTGATTACTTTTGACCTAACTCGTTTATCCCATTGATAAAATCGAATAATTATTTATGCAATGTTGAAATGTTGAGAAAACGCTTCTTAAAACCAGTGGTCAAGTGTAGTGTAGACTCTCAGATTTCTGTGTAATTATAGTGTAATTATAGCCACCTGAATAGTGGCTGGTCTTTGTGTGAATGTCCACAAAACTGAAAGACTTTCCGAATGTTTAGAAAGGAAAATGTAAAAGATGAAAAAGAAAATCTGTGAGAATCATTCAAATGTGAATAATTTATTGCTATTGTGTGAACAATACGTAATAATCTAATAAAAAAAAATAACTGTAGTCTGATTATGAGTATTTTCAAATGTAATATAATCAAGTTACAAGTACTTCATTTTTGCAATATGATTACATAATCCAGATTACATGCATTCAGTTACTAACCAGCACTACTAATTACTGGGGATTGACGTGTAGTTTCAAAGTTCTCAACAGGATGATAAAATAAAGTGTTACCAACTAGGGCTGCATTTCCCAAAAGCATCATAAGCTTAAGTACATCATAGACCCATTGAAACCAATGGAGCTATGATCAATTTAGGCTTAGGATGCTTTTGGGAAACGCAGCCTAGGATTGCACCAGGATCGTAACATTTGTCAAAAACTGTAGGCTAAGTAATTCACCAAACCAGGACAGTGACAGAATGTCAACATTGAACGTAAACTAGCAACTGCGCAATTCACTAAAAGAAAATAAGCCATGATCTTGTTCTTACCTTTGGCATTCCTCCTGACTCTCAGTTTGCTTGCCAGACATGATTGTTTCTGTTTCGTACATGTGCATCAAGTTTTTAGACTGTGTTTCATCCATTTTATCCTCACCCTCCTCAGCCGGTTTCTCGCTGCACCCAAATTGCTGGTGATTCTCTGCATTTCTGGCCTCTGTTCTGAACTCTCGATGTCTGTGGCGTTTGTGCCGCCCACCCTCTGCCACCCCTGCAGCGGCAGCAGCCCGAAACTTCCTTGCCACACGATGCCTCCTATCTGTATTGGAATGATGATTATTAGTGCTTGGCCTCTCCTCCAGCCCCGATCCCGTCAGGGACAAGGGCTCAGATTCTGGAGGTTCAGGGAGAGGAATGATGATAGACATGGGCGGCTCTGGCAGTGGCATCCCCACAGACATTGGTGATTCTGCTAAGTGTAAAGGGCTCGTCTCTGGGGATATGCAGCTCTGTTGGTGATGATCACTCACTGGAGTGTCCAACTGGTCCTCTGTGGGACTGCCAAACAGCACCTCACGACTGGCCATCTGCCGACGTTTCCGCAGCTGGTTGGCCCGTTGCTCCCAGACGGACATGTTTATCTTTTTGCGTCTTTCACGACGGCCAGCAAAAGCATTGACGGGCTGCTCTTCCGCTTGCTTCCCAGCGGCTTCCTCCTCTGCCTCTGCAGGAGTTGGTCGTCCTCGGTGGATGGCGCGCTTCCTGTACAAGTACGGTCTCCGTCTCCTTCTGCATGGATGTGAAACATCTCAGTTACAAGAGGGATATCGTTTGCAGCATGCAGATTTCACAATTCACAAGGGTGTGTGATAAAAATCAGGAAATTAGAATAAAAACAATGGCTATCGATTCAGGCTAAATAAAACGGAATTCGAGAGAAAACCAGGGGAAAATTCTTGAATAATAAAAGTAAACAAACAAGAAAGAAAATCAGAGAAACAGAGTGCACAAAGGATGTCAGCAGGTAATTTGGAGTGTTCATGAGATGGACAGTGCAATGTTAATGGCAGACATGACAGATAAAAAGATACATAGACAGTTTTACTTACAATTATGCGTATTCTTTTGTTGTCCATGAAACCAAATAAATGATTAATTGAAAATAAACCATTAGTGTATTTGTAGATATGACATACCAAACAATCCATATTGGCAGACTGCACACAAGTCAACTCATGAGGCTAGAAAAAGTTAACCCGGGGTTTCACACACCTGGCCCTCGTGGTCTATTGTCCTACAGAGTTTGGCTCAAACCCAAATCAAACTCTCCTGAACAAGCAAAACAGGGTCTTAAGTTTTAGTAAAAAGTTACAAGCAGTTGATTTGGATCAGGGTTGGAGATAAACTCTGTAGACAGTGGATGCCAAGAGCCAGAATTGAGAAACCCTGTTTTAGGGTTCGTTGGCACTTCAATACCATTAATGCCACATCACGCATTTGTGTGAAACGTAATAGAAGTTTTAGATAGAGATAGTTTTTGTCCAGTGTTTTTGGTAGTATAGTTTTATATATCTTAATGTTGCAATGACTATTGATTCATTTGTTGGTCTATTATCATGTGCACTTTCTTTCATACCATTGTCTTTTCAACTCGTAATGCCATTAAACTTGGGACTAGACAGTTACTGTACTAGATTGGTAACTAACTTTAAGCTGCCATTATGGAAGCAACTTCTATAATAACACGAGAGAAACTAATCAGCTGGATGTGTTTCTTCATGGCTCAAAACATTTCATGTATTTGTCCAGATGTCACGCTGATCAGAATATGAATATCTTCACTAAAGACAAAAGATGCACTGTTGCACTTAATCTGACTACAGTGTTAAATTAGCCAAGCTTCTATTAACTAATATCTAATATAAACAACTCTACAACAGTGGTAAACAACCTCTTGGTGAGCTACCATCCTGCAGAGTTTAGCTCCAATTCTAATAAAACAGACCTGATCCAGCTAATCAAGGTGTTGAGGGTTGTTTAACATTTCAGGCAGGTGTGTTGAAGCAGGGTTGGAACTGAAGTCTGCAAGAAGGTACGTAGCTCACCAGGAGCAGGGGTGGCTACTCCTGCCCTATTTGTATAAGAATATGGATGTGGACTTGAGCAGTATAAAGCTGTGCTTATATGGCTACCCCAAAACACACATCCTCCTGGTTGATTGTTAACAGTATAAACTTCTGCACACATAATATTACAAGACACCTGGCCACACTGACATCTTAGACTTGTGTTGATACACCAAATGCTTGATCAATTCAATGCAGTATAGCAGGGGTGGGAAAATCTGGCTCTCGGGCTCCACTATCCTGCAGAGTTTCATTTTCTGGACAAGACAAGGCAGTGTATCTGCATTTTGAAGCATCACATTTGCCAGAACAGTAAAGATTTTGAAACATAAATAAGAGGTTCAATTCGTTTTGCGATCTTTTTCAACTTTGCAACTATTGGGGAGAATTTGATGTCAAGCTGAGATGCTGTTGTGGTCTCCACTAGTTCAGAACTAATACTTAGTACCAGAGAAACACATACTGTATAGTTGACTACAACACTCAAGTTCACTTTGGTTTTGACTGCATTGTGGAGAAGAAATATCTTGATTAGAACCATGCAACTGAGAAAAAGTATATGAAGGCATTGCTGTGATTGAATCCAAACAAAGCTTGAACTGTTTTCCATTTATCACTGCCACTACCCATTTTCTTAATTTCTTCAAGTCTTTTTAGAATTTTGTTTGAATTGGTCTGTAAAAATCCTGCCATTTTCTTACACAGTTCCTGACATTATTTAATCTTACATTGATTTATCTGTTTTATCCCCTTTTTGATATAGTCTTTGATAATGTTTGCTAATTATTTGTATTGTGTCACAGATCTGAACTTGAAACAAAAATGTTTGAGGTCACAAGTTGCAATCTTAAACTATCACAATTGGTAACTTGAAAAAAGTTGCTCCTCTGGGTCTATCCCTTGCCAAGGTTGTATGTATCAAATTAAACTGACCTATTAAGACAAAACCGATCTAACAGACTAGTATTACAACAGAATTACAGGTTCTTTAGACTGATTGAAACGTACTAAACTAATTTCAAACAAACATTTCAGATAAAGAATCTAAGATGACATTAACCAATGTTACAAATATTCAGGAATGTTTTGAATACAAGCTGATCACTAAGAAGATTAGTTGGCCAAAAACAATAAACTCAGGTCAGGTTTGATCAACAAACTCAGCTCAGGTTTCATCATTGGAAATTTGATGGTTCACATCCCACCAGGAGTTAACTGCTTTGAGCAAGGTGCTTAAGGTTACTCTAATTACTATCAGGTTATGTCCCATGCCTTCTTTTCCATATGCTCTTGCAAACTGAGAGAAGCTAAAGGGGATTTCGCACCGGAGGAACGTTTTCATAGTTCCTATAACTATTGGTGGAAATTAGGGCTGCCCCCTAATAGTCGACTAATCGTTATTCGACCAGAAGAGGCTTGGTCGACCAAAATTTTATTAGTCGCTTAGTCACAAAAAAAAAACAGATGGAGGCGCTGGTGCGCTCACTTGCTCTTATAATACTCCGTAATTTTTGGTCATACAGATAAGAGTAATACATCTTTCAAATCTGTAAAGACTCTACGTATATTTGTGTGTACTCACAATAACAACAAAACATTGCGCTTTTGTAAAATAATGAAAGCAAACAGGATGCACTTTCTGCCGTCTCGGTCTCTGTGAACTTGAGCGCGAAACTCCGTGTATATCTTTGCCTTACAGACATTAAAAATATATCTATAGAGAGTGAAATGTCTACTTTCAAATGAACCAATTCAAATAGAAAACAAATATTCTCAGATTATGTAATCCGTGTGAAAGGCGCGTCCACTACTGCGGAGATGACGAGTCAGTGTCGCCGAGTTCATCTCTTAAACCAAAACAAAGAAAGCACTTGTTTATCAGTGAATTATTAAAATGTTAATGCAGCCTCCTTACTGTTTTTCCCTGACACATTCATAATCATAGCTTATGCGGTGCGCTATGGCAAGCTTTATGCGTGTGCTTGAGCGCTTATTAGGCTTTGTAGGCAATTAAAGGCTCATTATAATGATTTAAATGGTTTATTAATAAACATGCGATTAGTTGACTAATGCTTAAAATGAATGACAACTAGTCGACCAGAAAAATCCTTAGTCGAAGGCAACCCTAGTGGAAATACCTGCTTTTTGGTGTGTTCGCACCACAGGGACTGCTAACGATTCTAGTTATAGAAACGCCTTTTGTGGCGTTTGTTGACTAAATTAGCTCCTATTTCAGAGTAGGATCTAACCCAACAGAATAGGAACTACCAGTGATGCATGCCATTTAAAACACCGGCACCCACCATTTTTAAAAAGCTATGCAAACAGAGTTTACATACTTACTCCACGAACATGGAAAACAGCTATAGATGGACCAACACCAAAGTCCAGACAGTTCGCAACCTTTACACTATGGAGGAAATCCAATGCAACATTGCTGTCGGCTGGCTTGAGTCACTTCAGAGTTCCTACTGGCGGTGCGAATGCAACCAGAAAAATGGCCCTAGGGGAAAGTTTAGTTCCTGGGGGACCAACCTGGTGGCCAGTTCCTATAACTACCTGGTGTAAAAGCTCCTCTTGTTGGAGAAAATAAGGAACGTCTTTCAATGTGTGCTGCACTGGAGGAGTGGAGGAACTGGCTAAAAGGAACTAAACAACCATTTCAGCTGTTTACTGACTTCAAAATTCTTAGGTACATTCAAGCTGCTCAAAGACCTCTGCTCAGTACTGACTCTGTGACTTTGTGTACTTTTAAATCTAAACTGCACTGTACAAAGCTAAAACTTGTAATCACTCTAATATCATATTGATTTTCTTCTATAAAATAAACACACTATTCCCCAGCGGAGTTTCCTAGCAACTAAAGATTAAAAAATAAATAAATAAATAAAATAAATAATGAAATTCTTACGCCCTCGATAACCAAGATTTAAAGACAAACCGAAAATAACCAGTCATTCCAGTTCACCAGTTGAAGTGTTTTTGTGTTCCTCCCTATCAAATTTGACCAGAACCAAGACTGATCAAAAAACGTGACAGACAAATGGTACATTCATATATGACACTTCTGTTCGTGTGTTTGATGGGTCTGAAAAATTACATAGTAGCATAGTGGCATAATGGTTTAAAAGCATGTCTCAAGCACAAGAAGATCAGTTGCAACAATCAGCAATCGACACCAAATTCTTGTTAGTTTCTTAGAATGCTTACCAGCTTCTTAACACATGACACAAAACTGCATCCTTAGTTTGAAAAACAGGTTATGACAGACAAAAAGAGAAAAAAAAAAACTTACTCTGAGAGGCCAAATTCTCTGGATTTATAACGCTGATTGAAGAACTCTTCCGCCTCTTCTTCCTAACACAAAAAATACTCTTCAGTATACCTACCTAAAAGCATACACTATGTATACACTATGCACTTACTGTTAATTAAGGGCATGGATACTAATTTTATATAAAATGCACACAAAGGTTAATGCACTGGATGCATAATGAGAAACATACCTAATTTTGGGGATTATTACTGGTACACCATCAGTGTTATTGCAAAATATTACATTTACATGTTTATTAGACTGTAATATGATACCTTTCTTGGTCTTACCTTAGTCAGTTCCTGTGCATTGGCTAGATTATCCACAGCAATAGCCAAGAATACATTGAGCAATGTATCTGTTCACAGCATCGTCAAGAATTTGGGTAGATTTGAATGGAATGAGCATTACAAGCTTTACTTGCTTGCAAAGCTGTTTTCATGTGCAACAACACATAAAAGTAGCTATAGCCAAAAAGGATACAGTTCCCAAACAAGGTTAAAACAATAAAGTAGATTGAGGACCACATGCCGTACTGCACCCCTCCTTGTGAGCGAATCCCATTGTACATCACCTCATTCCAGTCCTCTCCAGTAAGAATCTATGTTGAATTAATTATTTTAAAAAAGCAGTTTAAATAATATAAAAGTTAAAGGGTTAGTTCACCCAAAAATGAAAATTTGGCTGCGTTTTACTCACCCCCGAGGCATCCTAGGTGT